CTGGGGAAGGCATAATAACCACTGTACCAGTATTAGCAAGACAGTCTGTGGGAACTCTAGCTCTGTTTTTCAGTGCACCCAAGCATGACTACCAGGCGGTAAAGTGTGCCCCAAATGAGCTGTCAAGTATGCATTACAGCATAATAGATGTCTGGTGAGGCTTTACTATTGAGAACAAGTAAAGACTAGGCATGCAAAACTGAATATTATTACTCTACCAAGCTCTGCTTTTGGGACTGTGGAAAATAGGCCTTATTCTTAAAGAACAAGGAAACTACCAGAGAAACTATCTGGGATGTGGAATAGAGTGTTGAGTTGTGGAGAATTCATTTAATTTACCTGAGCTACCAATGTGGGTTGGCATCAGCAGGGGAAATTTTGCGGAGAGGTCTGAGCTTTGTGGGACTTGATGGATGGAAGGAGAACATTGTGCATGAATTCAAATTTTCAATTGGTTTCACCTAAATCCAGAATCTCTGGTGGTAAGATCAGCTTGCATCACATAAAGTGCATCACATATGATGTGCTGTAGTAGTTTGTTTCCTCCAGTCGTTCTAGGGATTCCCTTTCTGAAGACTCCTAGATTTAGATTTCACACAGAGGCTGTTTGTATTCTTGCCATTTTGAAGGTTGTGGGAACTGATGTATCTCTTGCCTAAGACAGCATCTGAAAAGTGGTAGGCACTGAATACCTTCTGAGGAATGGGATGAAGGGAGGGAGAAATGCATTTGGGGAACCACATGATTCATCTTTCTTTTCTCAGTTACAGTTATTCCATCTTCCTATTGGCATTGAGAGAGATGGGAGAGAAATAAAGTAGATATTTGGCTTGCTAAAACAAATTCTAAGCAGAATGGCATCAATTTTCTATCTTCCTTTTCCTTCAATCACATCAAATAGACTGGGAGTATAAAATGAATAGAATAGTTTGGGTTTGGGAGTCACTGGGGAAAGGAGGAAGAGGGAACTAAGGTAGACAAACACATGCCTGTTCAAAGGTGGCAGTTGTAGCTTTGCCTTTAAGTGATGGTTGCCATAAACAATTTCAGAAAACAGCATTGTTACATCTTCGGAATTTAAAGAGAACTCGAAATCCAAATTTTCACCTAAAACACTCTTCTGATTGAAAAATAAAATTTTGCTGTACAAGGGATTGAATTCAGGGGGCTCTATTATTGAGATACATCTCCAACTCTTTAAGATGTGTTTATTTATTTTTTGAGACCAGGTTTTTCTAAATTGCTGAGACTGGACTCAAACTTGTTATCCTCCTGAACCAGCCTCCAGAATAGCTAGGATTAAATGTATGAGCCACCACCCTTGGCATGTTCATTATTTTTTCAACTCTGTGTACTTCAAGCGAAAACATCTCTGTAGGCCAGAGGAGTCCCAAGGGACTCCAGGATGTAATTTCTGAACTCTCTGGTCCTTATCAACCCAGAAATATCTTAATAAAAGCAAACTGAAGACAACTAAGTTGACGTTTACAGAGATAATGTGGAGGTTCCACATTCTTGTCTAGTTTCTCAATGGTTGGTCAGTGATAAAGATGGGACTCCAAATGCAAAGGATGCCCACTTTAGGAACATGACTTGTGTGCCATTTACTCATAAGGCACTTATACTTTCAACCCAATTATTTAGGACTTCTTGGCTAAATGGGGGTTATATACCTAAAATGGGCTAGTGAGGAATGATGACACAAGTTAGGCCTTGGTGAATGAATCATTAGAATTGAAGCCATGTTTTCCAATTTGGTTGAGTCTATAAAGAAAATGGTATATAGTGTAACATTTATCCTGTTTCTTGTCTTTGGATGTTTGTAGATTCATTTATTTATGGACTCATCACACATTTTTTCAAGTACCTATAAAGTGTCAGGCACGATTCTAGATACAGTAGTCCTTTATAACCAATTGGGGATATGCTGCTTCAAGACCCTCAGTGGATTCCCCAAACCATGAATAGTACTAAGCCTTATACATTCTATATTTTTTCCTATTCATCAATGCTTATGATAAAGTTTAATTTGTAAAATAGGCACTGTAAGGGATTAACAAGTAATAAAAGAACATTTATAATAATACATTATAATATTTCAGAGCAGGGTGGACCATGAGTAACTGAAAGTGGGAAAGTAAAACTGCAGACAGGAGTGGAGGACTACTGTATTGCACTGTGGATGTAGCAGAGGACAAAACAAGTGTCTGTCTTCTGAGAGTGTACAATCTAGTGTGGGGACCAGTGTACCTCACAAAGAAGTCTTTTCAAAAGCTAGAAAGACTATAATTCCACACAGATCTCAGAAATATGCCACTGCTTGAGTTAAATGGCATAAGAGAAATGGTAATCAAGGATGTCAGGGGAAATTAAACAGGGAAAGAGCTAATTTCTGAGATACAATGCTAAATTTTATTTTCTCTCTCTGTGTGTGTGTACGTGTGCATGAGAAGCAAAAATTTTTATTTGCTTATTTCTTGAATTTGAAGTACTCTTAGATGACATCCTTGGCCTGAAATTCTTTGTCATAGTCTTTAACCACTACACACAACTGCAAGATGCACTTTACAGAGTTAGCCCTCTGTCAATTTTTACAGAGACCTACCCATTCTTCCAGTTTTTTATTGTCATCAACCTTAATTAGGTTGATTTGGTGCTCGGCACAAAGCCTCCATCAACTTGACAAACATAGGCTCATTACAGTTGGATGTAAGCACACATTAAAGATAGACTTGGCACAAAATTTACTTCTGAGTCCAGATGCTGCTTTTCCTATTTTGAAATATAGCATTTAGTCCTGTTAAAGAAATAAAAGCTATCAGACCTATTACTAAGGATGCTCATTAAAATCTATTCTAGTTTTTGTTTAGTGAAGAAGTGATACCACTCACTGCCTTTTGCCACTATTATTAAAAAAAAAAAAAGGCTCTTGTAAATTTGGTTCAAATCTCAATCTTGGAAATATTTACTTCTAGATTATTTGATCATCAATTCATGACAGAGAAGCATCATATGATTAGGAAATTGTATACCTTTTAATAATATAAGGGTCTCTTCAACAAATCAAGAATACCAAGACTCATCCAGATAAGAAATCAGTTTGGGATTGTTGGCTTCATCAGATACTTTGGGATGAGTTATCATTACTGTGATTTACTTCTGGACTTCTCACATATCCTTGTTGTTCAACCAAACATCAGCTGATGCTCATAATAACAAAGGCAAGCAAACAACTCTTTTTGTTTATTTGCCATGGAGAAAAACTTCAATCTTTATGGTACCCCAAGATAATACTAAAATGAACATGGTGGAACATCAAGATGAAGCAGGATAAGCAGTCCTTATTTACAGAGGAAAGGCTGGCTGCTTAGGCTGTTCAGTGAAGTAGATCCTGTGATGAAATGATCCTGTACAGTGTATGTACCATAATTTGGCAAAACAATAGTAATACTTTAACAAACTCAGTAATTTTGGTAGGAATAGAAAATGGAAAAACAGCAAATATCAGGCATTTATCAATCACAGTCCTTTTTTTTTCCCCCTTTTTACAGCAATGTCAAAGAAAAAACCTGAATACATTTTTATAAGCTGGCAGGCCAAATACTATTATTAGGAATATATAACATATGCCCCATTCAGTCCATGTATACACATATAAATTATATATATATATATACATATATGCAAATAAAATCCTATTATTTTGGATACTTCTGAGTAAATTTAAGAACTTTTTCTTGATCTTAAGCTCTTGATCACACATCTCAAATCATTTTCAGGTATATAAACATAACCACATAATACTTAGACAGGCACATGTCAAGTTTCTAGTTCAGGATAATCACCTTCTATCATTAACTCTTCACTGAAAAGGTAGAGGACACCTGTATTTGGACCCAGGTTTTGCAGAGGTTTTGGTACAAGTTGTTTTGTTTTTAACCTTTCAGGGATGTCAGTTTGCCTATCCTAAGATGATTTGGCAGAAGGGTAGGACATGTTTTGTTTATTTGGAACACCATGCAAATGTAGTCTAGCTCCATTCTTAATACAAAATAGTTTCTCTATGCTTCTATGTTGATATTGAATCCATTTTGGGAAGAATTCATTCCATTTGGTGATCATCTTTGACAGGCAACATATGATATTGCTGAATGGCTCTAAGTACTCATTTCACTTATGAGGACTACTATTATCAAAAACAGTACCTAATTCATAAAATGATTCTGAGGGCTAATAACTGGAATGTACTTAATTAGAATGGAAAAGGGCATATAGTGAGCACTAATTTACTGATGATTGGTTACTGTTAACACGAATACTACATGCCAGGCTCTGGGCTAGAGTAAGTTAAAAACAGCCTCTGGCCCGTGGTCCTGTAGAATTTAGAATCATGGAATGAATGGGTTGAAAACTCCAGCAATGTTCAGGTTAGTTAGGACCCACAAATGTAATAAGTGAGGCTAGGTTTGGGAATGTAGTACCTTTATACCACACACCTGGTTGGAGAGGGTCGGGACAACTTGACCCAATAAGTGGTCTTCTGAATATTCTTGCTAAATCTTGCTTTTCAAGAGAAGTTAGGTACTTGGGTTATTAGGAGAAACTTCCCAACTTAGAAGAACTGGCAACAAATGTTAACTAAAAAACAAAATAATTGCTTTGTGGGCTAAAAGCCACTGTAGGTAGGGTGGTTCCTGGTTGTATGTGCCAGTTTAAAACTTTGTGACATGTTATCTGTAGTTGACCCAATTTCTCACTTTTGGGAGGCAGCCCAAATAGATTACTTGTCATTTAATCTTTAATTCTTAGTTCCTTCACAAAATGCACAGTATTTAGATAAGCTGGAAGTCTGCAGAGCAGAATTGAATATTGGAGACCATCTCTTTAAAGACCACAGAGCTGCAAATAGGACAGGTATATTGGTGTGGCCAGGATTCAGTTGACAAGGGTTTAGATAACTACTTTTTGCCAGAGAACACAAGAACACTGTAGAGCACAGATAGGTGAAGAGTTTTAACACAATTTATTTTCTTTAAATAATTGACTAGGTCATCCAGTGTCTGGTTTTTCATACATATGTCATTAAAGTTATGTGTCAGTGAATGCTGATTTTATGTGAATCATCAACAAATTAAAGAATTTCACCAAAACCCAAATAAAAATGCCCTTTCAAACACAGCAGCCTTATTAACCTAATATGACACTGCTAGAATGGTTACAAATGATTGGCTTACTGAAAGTTGTCTACATTTCATGGCTGGTACACGATACAGGAATAATTTTATAGCGTGCTGCCATTCTACTAGCTAAGGATTTCTGTTCAGTCCATTTTAAATCCCCCCAGCTGGGGCCTCTTATGAGCACCATCCACCTCTATAGCGGCAAGCATTTCCCCCTTTTAAGCACTAACAGCATCCCCCCACCCCCTAAAGCAACTACTGCATAGTTTTTTTTTTTTCTATTTTTAGGTCATTTCATTGAAAAATTGGCAATAGCAACAAATATTAGATGAAGGGCTTTGTGTTTACAGATAAAATCTTCTGTGTTGCAGTATACTGTAGTGTTTGCAAAATTGGAAAAGATTTAATCAAAATAAGGTGATACACATGCACCAAAATATTAGTATTCTGAAGAAAAATTTTTTCACAGAACTACAGAATTCCTCATTTTGGGAATTATTTAAATTTGCAGCAGATTTTAAAGATTTGCTTTTCTTTTTAAAATCAAGCTAGCAGTTTTGCATATACAAACATTATAATTGCTAATATACAAGAGTTGGTGAAGAGTCCCCCCCACCCAGAATCCCTCCCTCCTCTTCTAGGGTGAAGTCACTTGAGACTCTTATTATTTAAATGCATTTGCAATATTCTGTTTGTGTTCTAAGAGGCAGTGCCTTATCAACATTTATTCTATCTGTCTGTTAGAATTTTTACAGTGTTATTATTTACAGCAAAACTATTGATGTTTTAAAAAAGAAACAAATAGTGTTTATACCCTGACAGTTTGGGTCCAAGAAAAATAAGGCGAGCTGTTGTGGATTTAGTAATTTTAGTGTTTCTACTTGATTTGATCATTACATCTCCTTCTGTCTCTTCTGGCGGCAGGAATTTCTTCCTTTTGTAAATGACACCAAATTACTTGAGATAAACTGTTAACAGCATGGCTTCTTGTATACACTGCATTGCTAATTGCACACGCGCCAATCCCGGAAATGAAAGTGAATTTCCATGCTCTGTAAATTGGCTCATGCTAAATTAAAATGAGTTGTTTTCTTTTTCTGGTTTTCTTTTTGCATAAAAAAATCATGCCATTAATGTGTGGAAGCAGCAAACACACACACCCTTCTCCGTAAATTTTTTACTTCCGATATTTCTTCCATGAATTTCTTTACCTGGCAGTAAAAACACATGATCCTGTGGAGAAAGAGACAGATATTAGTTAGCGAGTTTAGCTTTCTTTAAAAACAAACAAAACTTGCCTTCCTTACTATTCAGTAGAAAACGTTAGAGAACCAGGGCCCATTCTTTTCTAAAGGGGTGGTTACGCTACCTGCTAAATGCCTCAAAGGATAAGGCCGCAGGATGTTCCAGAAAGCTCTTGGAAGGCAATAACCTTGCCCCCTGATCTTCATAGAAAATTACTTATGTAGTTGTGATTTTTAAGAATGTGTTGGAAAGACCCTCTCCTTGTTCTGACTCTGAAGCTCAGGTTACTTAGTCAAAAGCCAAAATGATGTGGATGAGAGGTGATCATTGATGTCTCCATAAACATCAAAACGTATGAGGTCTGGGCACCAAGAGATAGGCATATGGAGTATCTCCATCATTTTTGTAGATTTATATATTCCTCAGCCCCTAAAATCCAACTAATCTTTCAAAAAGGGGAAACAATTTCATTAGTTCATATGAAATTGTTTTGCTTTTCCACATGGAAATTAAAGACTAATTTCTACCATTGCAAAGAATACAGTTCCCATCTTTGCCTGCATTAGTTATGATGGGATAATTTCATTTGCACTTTATGTGGAGACTCCACTGAGAATGTCTTGTCTTACTGGAATTCCTGCATAAAGCATCAATGTTTTATGGCCGGTCTTAATGTGTCAAAATAAATCAACATTCTTGGCAGAGGTTTTCACTTCCCCGTCCCTGTACCAAGGATTGAATCCAGGGCTTCACATGGGCTAGGAAAGCACTGAGCTACATCCCAGCCCATTTTTTATTTTAAGACAAGGTCCTGCTAAGTTGCCCAGGTTGGCCTTGGACTTAAAATCCTCCTGCCTCAGCTTCCTCAGTACCTAGAATTAAAAGCATGCACCATTGTGCCCAGCGAGGAGGTTCCCATACTTTGGTGCAGTACTGTTATTTGTATGAATCTTTTTCCATGAAACAAAGTTCTTCCCATATATAGCCATTTTTCCTGGCTCAGTGAAAAATAACTGAAAAACTTGAAGACTTGCCTGAGAACAAGACTGCCTCTACAGAAATCCTGAGTAAGAACAATTTTAAGAATAACCCTGTTCACTCCCATATACACAACAAACTATTCTTCACAGATTCAGAAGAACCTTTAGAATTTCGCTTCTCTTGGGGGCCTGAGAGTATTACCAGCCACTTTGAGGTTGTTGACTTACCCTAGACAAGTTTCTCTTTAGATGGATCACCTAGGACACATATGTAAATACATTAGAACAGTACTTCCTCATCTTCCCACTGTGGGTCTGGACTTCCTTTTCTTGTTTTAAAAGTGCTACTGACCTCCATGCCCCAGGTCACTACTGCTTGGAGCCAAGAATACCAAAGTATCATTCCTTCTTGGGTGATTTCAACACCTCCCCCTCTCCCATGACTCTGCAGAAGTTCTAGAGAAGGAAAGTGACTCATTTCGATAGATCACATTACAGAGAGTGGGCAAATCCAAGTAAGAAGATAAAGATTTTCGCACCTCTGTTTCTACCACTTAGTCCTAATCTTCCAGGCACCAGGCTTCTTAGATGAACCGATGATGTTACTACCACAGGGCTCTCTCCATTTCATTATAATGGAGAGTTGTCAGCAGTTTTCTCTAGTTAAACTTCCCCCCACATTTTATACCTTAATTGGTACATAATTTATAAATTGTACTTCATCTATTATAAATAGTTTGATAATTTTTAGTAAATTTATATAGATGTAAGATCTCTCTAACTTGAGAACTTTCTTGTTTTCTTCATTTCTTCTAATAAATTAATCCAACTTTCCAGATTAATTTCATATTAAGGTCTTTCTCTTCTACATCAGTATGAGCAAACTTTATTTTTCTAGAAATAGTTTCTAAGACTTTAAAAAACCTCTTATGTCCATTTAAATTTAGTATGTTCTGGGTGATAGTTAAAAAAGTTGAAGTTACCCTTAAAAATCTCTTGTTCTCAATCATGCAATTAGTTTGTGGGTCCCAACCACACAGGGTATTGAGATGTGGAATTGGACAAAAATCTTTTACCAAGTTCAGTGTTGTACAAAAAGATTAGAACCTCGGATAAGTGACTTTTTTATAAATAGACACTTTGTATAAACTGTGATTAAAAACACCAACTGAAGGGACAGTGTGAAGGCAGGAGTCATCAATGGCATTTCAGAAACAGGATTCTGAATCATCTCCCCTTGCTGGGTTTAGATAATGGATATGAGATAGACAGGTTTGATTTAGGAATTCTTTTGTGGGTTTGGTATGCCTTTTACCTCCAAAGGCAGGAGAAACTAACTCAGAAAACCAATCATTCATGTAATTTCACAGTGATTTTTTTCTAAGAAACATTTTAAAATATAGAAAAAACAGCAAGTAAATGTTTCTTCATGGTAACTGATAATTCTCAAATATTATACTTCACATCTTCAAGTCATGTGTATAAAGGAACCAAACCTTCCTTTATAGGCAGTTTTTAGTTCCCAACACCTAGCCTAAAGAAGTGCTATATCTTTAGCAGGATCTGAAGCCTATCCCCATACAGTTTTTTAAAATGCTCACTAATTCACACTGTCTTGTTTCATAATTTCTAGTGGTTTTAAAAACTGATTGAACAAAAGAATTATCTGGGAAAATTTAAATCCTAATGTCTAGTCCACATTCCATATGGGCTTATCCAGAATTTCTTATGATTAGGCCCAGTACACAATTATTTTAAAATTCTTCAAGTGATTCCAATGTTCTACTAAATTTGAGAGCTAGTGATGTGCCCTGGAGAAGTGCTTCTCAAAATTTAATATGCAGATAAATCACCTGTGGTGATCTTCAAATGTAGACTTTATCTCATAGGTCAAGGCTAAGCCCAGATATTCTGCATTTCATCGTAACTACATGCCCAGTATCAACTTCATTGTTTTCAAACTTTTTTTTTAGCTCACAATTTGTATTCACCTGCATCCCCACCTTTTCTAATCATCAGATCTTTCTTTATGCTTCAAGTTTGTTTCAAATGCTCTCTCTATGGAAGGACAGACCCTTGTGATCTATCTTTTGTCACCTCTCATTTAGTGTGAGAATTGTCATAGCTTGAGGAAAGCCCTTCTGATATATCTTCCTCACAGCCCACAGAGGACAGATTTCTTTGCTCTAGTTCTTCCTTTCTCCCCTTGTCCAGCTGCCTCTTCCTTCCCTTCTCCTGTCTCTAGTCATATGGGCAAGAATATTTTTTCTAAACAATAATTCTAACTACAATTATAATAAACTACAGTTTAGTTTTAAAGTAATTTCCAATTCATGCAGATTTTTTTATTCAACTAATACCAATAGATGGGGCATTTTTGAGTTTGTTCTTTTCTAGTGACTTGTGGTTAAAAAAATACCTGAAGTTGCAGGGGCCAGCAGGAATAAAGGAAAATACTGGACAAATATTGGCCTAAAATTTTTATGTTTATTGTGTGCCAGGTATTGTTCCAAAGAGGTTAACTCATTTAATCCTAATAACCAAAAGGGATTATTATTTTCTCCATTGTACAGATAAGAAAATAGAGACACAGAGGTTAACAAGAAGCTCCAGGAACTACAGCAAGTGGCAGAGTCAGAATTGGCAGTCAGGCTACTTAACTCTAGGACCTTGCTTTTACCACCCTGAAGCCAAGGCCTTTGGTTAATGAGTTATGTTTTTATTTTTCTTATTAAAAAAAAATCTATTGCAAATGAATTCTGGGAAAATAAGCTGGAGGAAAGGGCAGGATTCTGAATTTGGAGTGAAGCAATTCAGATTGTGGCTTTGCCTTCTTGGAGGCAGATTCTGGAGATGGGGGTTAAAATCCAGACCTACCATTAATTGCAATCTCAGGGATTTTCTCTCATTCATTCATTAGTAAAACAAATATTCTCATCCCTTTTTAATAATTTCCCAGTGTTACTATGAGAAACAGTGTAAGGAATAATTGAAAATAAACAGTTGAAAGTAAATCCTCATCCATCTCATAAGGATTTCAGTAATACTGCTGTTCTGACTTCTCCCATGTTTTATAATAGTGTCCCAGGCTACTGCTCAGTCCCCCAGCCTCCATCACTCAGGCCATCCAAGGTTCTCTTCTTGGTTTTCTTATTACTTCATACTAATAAGAATAGCTCATGCTTACTGTGGCCTTAGCAGCTACTATTATTAATTTACATGTATTAACTCAATTTAGTTTTAAAACCAATTCTGAGATAAGTTACTATTTATCCTTCTTTTGGGAAGAGGGTTATTGCTATTCATTAGAGCTTAATTTCAAGCCTCTTGTCTACTCAACTTGGATGAATAGAGGTAAAGAAATTAAGACACAGAAGTAACTTGCCCAAGCACACATAACTAGTAAACTACTTGGTAGTTCCATCCACTCAGGCCACTTTATTTCTAACACCTAACCAAAGGTGGCCACATTAAGATCTCTAGCTCAGACAGACTTGTTTGAAATCATTAACAAATAATGAGGGTACCAAAATGCGGCATTTATAAAGGCTAGTTCCTCACCTGGGCTTCCTTAATCCTAAATTTGTTTTTGTGGTCTTAGGGTCAATCTTTTTGTTAATAATTACATGTAAGCTAGAAACCCTGATGTCATCACCTTCACTCGCTATGTAGAATTAATCTGATTGTTAGCTAAAATATTCCTCAAATCTGCCTTCTCATTTCCATTGTCTTATTCCAGTTCAGGCCCTCTTTCAACTGTGGGCCTTGAGTTCAAATTCTTTTTTTTTTCCCCACTAACTTCCTCTATGACCTTTTAAACTTCCCTGAAAAATGTCCCTTAGGACTTGCTCCTTAGCTCCTTTTCTGCTCACTTCAGCTTTTTCTATAGGTAACCATATCTGTTCTTTAGTGTTCAAAACCCATTTCTTCAGAATCCAAAATTATATGTTGAGTCCCATCTTTTCCCTAAAGCTCTAGACTTATCTAAATACTTGGATATGGTCACTT